TGGTCTCGATCTCTTGACCTCGTGATCCACCCGCCTCGGCCTCCCAAAGTGCTGGGATTACAGGCTTGAGCCACCGCGCCCGGCGAAGCTTTAATTTTTTATTTGATAATTGGAATGATTCATTCCAGCAAGAACTGGACCTCTTTCTTTGCTTTTTGCTTCTTTGGGATGAGGAGCTCAAGGTGGTCAAAGGGCAGCCTCAACTTCCAGTGTAATGGAATCATGATTATGTGCCCTGGTGGCTGCGTTCTTCCCTTGGGCACTAGGACCTCTCAACACACTGAACCCAGGGTCACAGAGACAGGAGACAAAAATTCCTTCCATGGCTGGGCAATGTGGCTCACACCTGTAATCCCAGCACTTTGGGAGGCTGAGGTGGGTGGATTACCTGAGGTCAGGAGTTCAAGACTACTCTTGCCAAAATGGTGAAACCCTGTCTTTACTGAAAATACAAAAAAATTAGCTGGGTGTGGTGGTGGGTGTCTGTAATCCCAGCTACTCAGGAGGCTGAGGCAGGAGAATCACTTGAACCTGGGAGGTGGAGATTGCAGTGAGCCGAGATTGCGCCATTGCACTCCAGCCTGGGCAACAAGAGCAAAACTCTGTCTTGAAAAAAAAAAAAATTCTTCTATGGCATTTTTAGTGTAATAGTGAAAATAGTCACTCCAACTTTGACCCCCTGGTTCCCAGTTCTGTTTTGGCTAGGAGAGATAATCCTATATGTTGTCTACTAATTTAAGGCAGCCTCCTGTAGGAGATTTCTTGATTGTTGCTGTTACTGAGTCTTCAGCAGTTGATCATGCCTTCTACTTCTGTATGATAGGGTACAAGATAAAATGCATAAGTTTAAACAAATCGGTTATTCTATTTTCGGTGTGGGGAAGAGAAGGGCAGCAGGTTTGAGAGGAAAGATTCATAGGTCAGATTAGAAAATGTTACATTTCATGCATTTTTGGGTTATTAAATTGAGATGAATAGTGGGTAGTTGACTACATGTCTGTGCAGATAAAGAATGAGATGGTGAGACAGATTTAAAAGCCTTTGATATACAGTTGTCCATGAAGGGTGTAGAAAAGCTCACTTGGAGTATCTAGCAGGAAATGAGCATCAGGGAGAAGTATCTGAAGAATATGATGTTGGAGAAAACTGACCAAGAGCCACTTGGGCTGCAGAAACCAAGGAAAAACTTTTTTTTTTTTTTTTTTTGAGACAGGATCTCGCTGTCACCTAGGCTGGAGTGCAGTGGCACAGTCATAGTTCACTGCAGCCTCAGCCTCCCTGGGCGCAGGTAGTTAACCCACCTTAGCCTTCTGAGTAGCTGGGACCACAGTCATGCACCACCCACCTGGCTAATTTTTGTATTTTTTGGTAGAGATGGAGATTTGCCATGTTGCCTGACTGGTCTCAAACTCCTGGGCTCAAGCAGTCCACCCTACTTTGGCCTTCCAGAGTGCTGGGATTACAGATATGAGCCGTCACACCTGGCCAAAAAACATATTTTAAGAAGGAAGAGGCTAGATGCAGTGTGGCCCATGCCTGAAAGCCCAGCACTTTGGGAGGCTGAGGCAGGTGGATCACCTGATGTCAGGAGTTTGAGACCAGACTGGCCAATGTGCTGAAACCCTGTCTCTGTTAAAAATACAAAACAATTAGCCAGGCATGGTGGTGGACATAATCCCAGCTACTCGGGAGGCTGAGTCAGGAGAGTCACTTGAACCCAGGAGGCGGTTGCAGTGAGCCGAGATTGTGCCACTGCACTCCAGCCTGGGCATCAGGAGTGAAACTCCATCTCGAAAAACAAAAAGGAGGAAATGGTTGTTCATTTTAAATGTAAACAGTAAGTGTAAACTTGAAAACTGAAAGTAATTCTTGGTCATTAGTGACTAAAGCAAGGATAATGTATTAGTCCA